CCGAATATACAAACTAGAAACATGTGGATAAATATTATAAATATGAACACCTATAACTGTTACTTTATTACAATAATAACATAAAAGTAACATTGAAAAATAAAGATGTGGTTTTTGGTTCTACTACACCAATGGTCAAGAGATGGCGCTGTAGTCTCCTGAATCGCGCTTTGGTTCCGTTGTTCCAGATTAATAAATACTTTTGATAGGCCTTCATAATGCAGTCGTTAGCACCCACTAAATAGAGATACTATTTCTATTTTGTTGGTAGATTTTCTTAATGTGCGGTAAACACAAAAGTAACAAATATGTTAAAATTTTGTGTTACAGTGATGCGCGCGCATCTTAAAATTTAACTCTCATCTGTTTTTCATAACGCGCCTAAAGAAGTATAACTTCAAAAATCTAAACATGTTTTTTTTAACTATCTGCAAGAATCTTGACTGCTAGCATATTCCTGTTTTGATTCGCTGCCTATAGAGCATCACTTAATTTAGTTTTGACTTAAATTGGTTCTTTTTTTGCGTGAGACTACTTAACACAGGATAGCGTTTATAAATAACAATACCATTAATATCATAATTGTATATATTAATTAAGAAGTTAGTATCTTTGAATAATATGACGTTGTTACTCATCTCATGTGAAGTATGTTATAATATACAGCGGGTGCAGAGCGTGTATGCTAGAATAATTTAGCGAGAATTTGCTGGGTGCATTAGGAAGCCAAATTATTAAAACAAAAGCAACCCGTTCTGACTGCGCACGGGTAACAACCTCTAATGAAGAAAATGAGAATTGTAAATAGTTTCATATGAAACAGTAGCATTCCAAGATAATGGTAGATTTTCTAAAATAGCAAGCCTTTTGGGTTACCTACCGTACTCAATAAAAAAAACCGGCTAAGTGCGTGTCGTGCCTCGCGCAGTGTAGGGTTCCGTACTTGCCTGTAGTTACCACAATATATTTGACCAGGAGTCTTTATTTTCTACATCGGAATTTAGAAAAACTTAGGGTTACTTGAACAAAAATGAGCACTTTAAAGTTCAATATTTCGCAAATATATCCCTACATCGAACAATAGTCTTAGGAACCCCTACGCCATTTTAAAGGACCTATTCAACGATGAACACCACACACGATGGGGTAGATGATAAAAATCATCCCCAGGTGACATGTAGGGGAGCTACCGTTTTTTTTTTTAATTTTATTATACCATTTTGCTTCCGCAAAATTACAGCACTCTAGTGCTAACAGTCTCCAGGCAAAACCGGGGATGGACAGACGGACTTGACGAAACTATAAAGTTCCTTGTCAGGACTACGGAATCCTAAAAAAGGTAAGAAAATGTTCCACGTGGTCCAGGCATCAGAAAGGGTTTCGAACCCGCGCCTTCCGTAATCCATGCGGAGATTTATAAATATCGTGGTTATGCAGGCAAAACCAATTTTGACGACTTTATCAAAAAATCTTTTATTGCATGCATCGACTAAGTTTTTTTCTGCTCTATCGGCAGGTAAAACCTTTTTCTTTATCAAACGCTCCGTTTCGAAGTTATCGCATGTAAAAACCAATTTTAAGACTAGTTAGCCGTGCAAGGCTACAATAAAAATAATTTATGTTGACATAATAAAATTTTTACCGGTTCGGATCCCATGCAAAACAAAATAACACAGTAAAAATGGTTTTCCTTTACAGACTTTAATGTAATCTTTGTGTGATTTCATCTACAAAATCAAATTACATGAAGATAACATACCCAAGAACTATTATGATTTCAGGCAAAAAATAGTATTATCATGTACTTGCTTTTCCGCGAAGTAATTCATTAGTGTATATATATCAATTTGATCCTAGCAAAAAGTTTATTTGTGTCTAAATGTGTTTTATTTGAACGAATTTTAAAACACGCGCGAATGAAATACCTTCAGTGAAAACCAATTATACTCTCGTACAAATGCGCCGGCGTCAGTTTGGTTCGGTGCTCAGTATAAACGGTTACAAGTTACCTTTTTCTTTGTGTCAAAATTACTGTCAAAATGAATAAAAAAAATATACAAATGTTACCAGTGAATCACTCGAAGTTGGATAAAATGAACCAATTTGTAAAACTACTAGGTTCTTTTTCAGTTTTTAACTTTGAGTGACAAAGGTTTTAGTAATAAACTACAGTTACGAGCTTTGTGCGTAAATATCAAGAATGTATGTACTGCATAAACTAAGCTTCACGGGTTGGTGAGAGGTATGTACCTACAGCAGGACTTTATTCAACATCAAAATATACCAGTATACGCTGAGCTCTTGTCTGTACCCTGCGTAGTACGAATAAGAGCCCAGTTTATACTGGTACCGTCTAATTTGACGTGAGATTCATAAGGTATAGTATACAGAATGTAACAAAATGTCGAAATAACATTTAAGGGCCTGATTCTGCTGTTTAAGTATGTTTTGGTATGGTAGAATTTGGGTGCTTAAGAACAGGTTACCTGGCACAAACAAATTTGTGCCAGACAAAATGTTATCATGCGTACTTGCGCATAAGATAACATTTTGTCTGACACAGATTTGTATGTGCCAGGTAACTTGTTTCTTTATGTAAGCACCCTTTGAAGTTTCTACCTACCTGAGCAACAGAATCAGCCCCTTAATTTTTTTTTATAGATAGGTCCGACAAATGACTCCACCCCACCTGATGTTAAGTGAAGGTGAAGTCCAGACGTGAAGATAGCTGATACAGCAGTTTTACCTGCCACACCAGCCATCCTCACCCTGCCGGCCTGCATGTTGCTTCTTCACGCCTCTTTTAAGGATCCCAGGTTGTAAGAGGGAGGGAACACGTGAGCGGGCAGAGCATTCCATTTACGGATAGTGTGACAAAGAAATGAGTTACCAAATTTCTTTGTACGCGTTGGAATTGTGGCCACAGTTAGACGGTGACAACGTAGGCCAGCGCGCGTGGTCCTCTGAAGGAAAGGGGAAGGTGGGATAAGAGAGAATAACTCCTCAGAACACTCGCCGTGGTACAGACGATAGAACGCGCTTAGTGACGCCACATCACGGCGTAATTGAAGAGGCTCAATTTTGTCTATAATTTCGACATTTTGTATAATTCATTAAGGTTTTATGTAAATTGGCGGAAATATTTTTAATGATTTTTTAGGATGTCAGATTAATTATGCCTTCCAGTAAACAATATCTATCTGAATAAAGATCCATTTTCCAGGGTCACTGGAACTGTGGTGCGTGGTGGACTGTCAATTAATTAGTTCAATATCTGAATTACTCACACAGAGGGTAAATTATTAAAGAGAACTCTTGTATTAATGAGACCGACCGTACCCTACCTTTCTGCCTTCTCATACCCCATATTATAAGATTTAATTAATTTATGTGCAAAAAACGTTATTCCCGAAGAATACCAGGAATAGTTCAAATCACTTCCAAGTGAAAAAGATAAAAAGGATCTATTACCTGATGCAACGCTTTCCGATGAAGAGTATGATCCAAATGATGATTAAGATTTTAAACTTAATCATCATTTGGATCATACCCTTTATTTTAATATAATTTTTCTTTTTGTTCACGATTCGTAATTTTGTCTCCTTTTCATTTTAATAAATAATTTCAATGCATTTTTATTTTTATTCAGTAAATACTAATTTAGTACATTTTTTTTAAGTTTTGACGACTTACCATATTTCTCTTCCTAACTAGTTCAGGAAAAACCAAGTTTAAATTAGGAATTATCGTAGATGTGCTCACAATTTGGTGTACATTTGTTTTTTTATAAAGTATGTAGATATTACATTTAAAATACTACCACGTCATTTATGATATTTATACGTAATGTGAATGATTCTCTAGATAATCACGATTTTTATTCACCAGGGAAAACCAATTACGAATGGTCCATTTTTTATTTGAACAAATAATTTGCAGACTTCCCTTTTCTTTTTCATATTAAAGTTGTACTTTAACCCAAAATGATGAATTCAGGCCCACCATGACCATACTTCTGGTTGCATTAAAAAGATCTTTAAAACTTTAAAAGGGCTTTGAACTTTATGTAGCGGATTTCTCGATTTGGTTAAATGTCGCATAATTGGTTTTGCCTGCATAACCACGATATAGTAGTTAAATATTTAAAACTTTTCAAACTTTAATGAAAGTAAAATATGTAGTCACATCTTAAGAGCTTGTCTGGATGCTTTGTCGTAAATATGGAAAATGATTTTCATAGAAATCAATTAAAATAGCGTGGGAAAAAGTCAAGTGCGTGTTAAGGAGAGCGCGCATTGCGCTTATGGCCGCAACGGCAAAAACATCGCAGCGTCTTTTTGTTGTGTGCTGTGAATGGCACAAGCAAAATAGATTTCTTAGACATTACTGTTACGAAATAATAAAAAGAGGAAGAAAAGAAGATCTTCGATGCATCCTGGCAAGCTTTAGATTAATTAAAAGTAAATTATACCAACTGCATAGTGGATTAAGAGAATACCCTAAAAATTATTTAAATCCTACAGAAAGAGCATTGAATCTTTTGACAAATTTGATAGTCGGTTTAACACGTTTGCTTACCAGAACACGAAATGTAGAATAGGTACTTTCTGATCAAATGTTCTCAGAAGACTGACTTAAAATGGCGGTGTTTTGCCGCAATGCGCGCCGCAGTACAAAACAGAAATAATTACAAAAACTTGCGGTTGCCGCGCCGCCGCTAATATTCTATAATCAGACGCATAATTTTGGTGGCTCTGAAGCGCCGCTTGTGCGCGCTCCGATTTAAGCTAAGTTTAAAGCTTTTATAACTAGTGTTACAAAAAAATCTCACTATCATAATTTTTATTTCAAAAACTTTAATATAATAACTTTGCAGCCCAAAAGAGAAAAATGTTGTATTTATTAATTATAATTAATATAAGTATACATAATGCATTATCACACTAATATATATAGTGATGGCGGGCTGATAAAATAGGCAGGTAAGTACTTATAAAGGCGAAAGTTTGTGAGTGCGTGAGTGTGTATGTTTGTTACTTCTTCACGTCGTTTAGACGTCGCTGGAGCGATTTTAATAGAGTTAGCTGGCACCCTGGATTAATACATAGGCTACGTTTTACTAAGAGAAAATATCCCTAATAAATCGGAAAACTTCCTAATAAACGGAAACTATGAAAAAATCTACCACACGTCCGTACGCATAATGAGCTTGATAGATATGTGTACCTTCAAACTTTTCCTCCATTTTTTTTTCTTTTATTGACTTTTGGACCAAAATGTCCATACCAGCCCCATCGTAACCTGACCATACAATTTTCTGAAAAGTATTTAATAACTTAATTATAACATAACATTTTTGCTGCGATATTGCAAAGCACACCAGCTTCCTCCGATAAGGGGTTGGCTAGGATGCCCTGCAAAATGCCAGTTTCATACCTATTAATTTTAAGGATGGAGAATGCATGTCTACTTTCCGCTTCATTTTTGACGCATTCCATTAAAATGTGTTGCACATCCTCCACTTTCTCACATATTCCACAAATAGAGGATTTTTTTTTTAAAGAAACAAGAGTTTATTTTATGGAATATGTCCAGAACGAAGTCGGTGCATAATCATAATATATATACGATCTATGTTACCATTGTTGAACCAAGGTATATGACGAGGTTCACTTGATATGGTCTTGTACCAAATGCCTTTCATTTTAGACCTTTCATTAAAATATTCTGCTCATAACCTAGAGCAAATCCAAATATTATTAAAACGATTGAACGGAATTCCCCGCTCTGCACTTTTTTATTGTTCTGGCGGATCATCCCGGGTAAACAGTGTACTGATAAAGAGTAAAATTGTGTTTGCCGTCCCCTCGAGAGGGGCCATATTTTAAGGAGGTTTCCCGCGGCTCACCCTTCCGTGGTGGTGCAAGCTTATTTACGGTGTAAAATTTGACACTTCCATTGTAACTCCATGGGATATTCCGAAATTGTGTTTCGCGGGGTTGCGAATTGTAAAGGGTTGTTGTAAATACACTTTTGTGACATAATGGTGAGATAACTTTAAATGTTTTGACGTTAAATGCGAAATTTGACAGCAAAAAGATTTAAAGTACTTTAATTATAAGCTTTTTCTATTATTTATTATTCGCTATTATTATTTTATTTTCATTTTTTGATATTTTGAAACTGTTAATAGGTGTGAAATTGATTGAATTTAAATTTACTATTTTGAACTGATTGAATTTTTAATTTATTTGGTTTTAAATGTAATTGTATGTTGTGATGTAATCTAATTTTCTTTTTGTATCATAATGATAACTATTTATTATTATTTTGTCATTGGCATGCTATAATCTTTGTGGTATAAATGAATTATTATTATTATAAATGCAAAAGTGTATCTGTCTGTCAGTTACCTCTTCACGCTTAAACCGCTGACTTGATTTAGATGAAATTTGTAATACAAATAGTCAAGAGTCCCAGGGCTTTATAATATCAGCAAAAATCATCCTTTAGGGGGGTAAAAAGGGGGTGAAAGTTAGTATGGGAAACCAATTTTTCAACCACGCAGACGAATTCGCGGGCGTATTTTGTATTTTTATCTTTATATATATAATTCTTCTGTGAGTGTGTATGTCACTGAACTTCTCTTACACGACTGGACCGATTTTGATGAAATTTTTTGTGTGTGTTCAAGGGGATCTGAGAATGGTTCAGATTCACAACTTTGTCCGCTGGACAACCCCTATTTTTTTAGGGCGGTACGAAGTTCGCTGGGTCAGCTATTAATTATATAAATATTGTTGAACCTTTCGTACCATTGCACTTCGCTTTCATCCCAAAAACACTGTTTAGGAGAGTGGAAAGGGAGGTTTAGTAAAGTTTGTATGGGAAATTAATTTTTCCACAATTTGACACAGACGAAGTCTCGGACACCCGTGTTTTGTATTTTTATTATTATACTAGCTGACCCGGCGAATTTCATAGCGTCATAAAAATAGGGGCAGGTGGTGGAAGAGAAAATTTAGGGTTGTATGTATTTTTTAATACCACATTATAAAAAAATAAATATTGTCCAAAAAAAATTTTAGGGTTGTGTAACATAGTGTCCTTTCTATTTCCTGGGGTAACATTCCTCCTAACCCATATGAGAACACTACGTTACAATACCCAATAGTTTGAATTTTGGAGTGAAGGCGCATTGTAGGTTACAGGTGGACACACTTAAGGATTTGAAAAATAGATAGTAGCCGATTCTCAGACCCACGGAATATGCTAAAATTTCATAAAAATCGGTCAGGCCGTTTCGGTATGGTAACTAACATTGTGACACGAGAATTTTATATATAAGATAAATATTGTTGAATTTATAGTACCATTTCATAACGCTTGCACTAAAAGTGTTATGTTGTATCCTTATCAATTCCTCCGAACATCCTTTTTTCTTCCATCCCAAATTTCATCTAAATCTAAAGAAAAAAAAATACTAGAAAAATTCACATGACCCAGCCATCAGACAGGATTAGGCATGCACTAGAGGAAATTCAACACGTCTATGAGGAGCTCGCGCCTAAGATCGTGAAAGTTAAGCAACTGTCGCAATGGTCGGTCATTGGATGGGTGACCAACAACTTATTATGACGAGCTTCGCCGTGCTTCGGAAGGCACATTAAGCCGTTGATCCCGGTTGCATCTGCAGTCGTTAGCACCCACCAATCCGCACTGGGACCGCGTAGTGGGTCATGGCCCAATCTCCCTATTCCATCCATAGGGAAGGCCTCTGCCCCAGCAGTGGGGATATTAATAGGCTGATGATGATGATGATATTTATTTAGTTAACGTTAATAGGTGCTAATTGTTAGTAGATGTATAACAATTAGCACCTACTTATTCACACTGCGCCCACGTGGTGGGCCATGCCTAGTCTCCCTATTTCATCCATAGGGAAGGCCTGTGCCCCTGCATTAACAGGCCGATGATGATGATTAAGGCATCACGAAGCACAGAGGCCAGTGCGTTCTTTACCTTTAATTTTAAATTAATTATTAGCCTTAAATTTTTCGTCACAATCTGTTTATCGGCTTATCTAAGCAGCGTTCATAAACTAAAGTTCCAAAGTATAAAACGCTTCATTACGAGTTAAACCGCTTTGAGGTAATCGCTTAGAGCCAGCTGGCAATGTGACTGACGTCCCCAAACGAGTGTTATTAGTAGTGATGTAACGAATGTCATTTTTTGAACATTCGCGAATGCAAATGTGGATGCGAATGTCTGGTACCGATATTGGCGAACGCGAAATCGAATATTTAGTTTTTTTTTAAATTGGCGCCAATTGTCTATGGCATGGTGGCAGTCTCGTTCGAATTGCCGAGTTGATATGAACTCATCCGACTGAAGTACCATTCCGCTCGCACCGGTCTTTCCGTAAACAAAACAAGTGAATTTTGAGGTTAGTGATTGTGAGTGGTAATAGTGATTTATTAACATGAGTAAATCGAATTCTAGTGAAACATGGACTTATTTCACACTTGCGATGCTGAACGAGCTAAATGCAAACTGTGTAACAATGAATATTCAAGGAAAGGCTGAACTACAACTTCTTCAAATTGTTTTTTTTTTCTAATATTCATATTCGCAAAATATTCTCGGAGATTTTGCGAATGCGAATGTGAATGCGAATATTCAAAAATATGTGAATATTCGCGAATGAGAATATTCGTTACATCACTAGTTATTAGCCACCCCTACCCTAAGCAAATACTTTGAAACGGCGAGTGTACAAACGATGCAGGTGCCGGTGAAGCATACTCAATATCCACTCTTTGTTAATACTTTTTAAAGGGGTAAAGGGAGTTTTTTTCAAACGCGTTGGGCGTCGGTTCCAGATTTCGGCCGCCTTCGACTCCGACCGAATTAACATGAGTTTTTTGTGGATCTCACAGGAACCTGACATTTTTCCGGAATAGAAAGTATCGTTTGTTTCAATCCAGGTCATAAACTATACGTGTTTTAAAGAAGAACAACTATTTTGGTACTGATCTTGTACAAACATAATTTTTCGATAGTATGTTAAGCATTAAAAAGTAAGTAATATAATATAATATAAAAAGTATTTTTTTAGCTAGTTGTGAAACTCAAAAAATAGTATAAAAACTTTAACGTATAAAGGAAAGTAGCGTTTAGCGTATAAAAGAACGTGCTTTGCTATTATTACTGATGGCGTAGCGTTTGACTTTCACAAGAGCTTGTAACAGCCTAGACTGAATAAATGAGTTTGAATTTGAATTATATTCGAAACAATCAATGCAACTAATCATGAGTTGAATGTTTTATTGAAGTAATGTATAAATTGAAAAAAAAAGAAAAAAAAGTAATCATGTTTCTTTAATTGACCCTCGGCATATTATTGTTATAATTTCTGATGAATTATTAAAAATATAAACAGCTTCACTTTCAATATGGCCAACCATCCGTATTTTGATTGTAGGTATATATGCCAACATAGTAGCGTGCTTGCTATTATTGAATATTTTTGACTGCTATGTCTTTGTCGACACCAAATTGTTCCAAATTAGTTAAAAAATATATTTATTTTGTCTACAAAATACATCCGAAAAAACTCTCTTTATATTTAAATTATATTTTATTTTTAATTAAATTCAAATCAAAATATCTCATTAACCCAACTAGCGATTGAATCCAATTATAGATTGGCAGTATACATTTACAATAAGTTTTACAATAGTTTTTTGTTCCTCCTATATAAAGAACTTGGAACCCCCCATTCAAAGTGGTTGTTCTCCTTTCAGCCATTTTTTAAGTAGTTTTTGCGTGATTGAGTAAAAAACATACACACTTTCACATTTGTAATATTCTGAATCTTTACTCGCGGCGAGTGAAAACGTTTTTAAACATTCAATCTTTTTTTTATTTTTCTTCTAGAAAATAAGTTTGGCCCGCGACAATTCACTTTTTTAAAGTTGAACTTAGTACCTACATTTTTTTATGATTAAATTATAGAAAACTAGTAGTGATCAATTAGCTTAAGGTTACATACGCTGTCGAGCAACTGCTCTCTCTCTCTCACTGAGTCATGTTAAAAAAAAATTCCGTAGTATTTTTTCTGTAAAATTCTAAGTTTCTCATATTCTTGCAAATAAGCGGAAGATTAAAAATTACAGTCAAGTACTTAGCACGAACCAATATCGAATTCAAATAGTTTGCGAGTGGGAAATGTCAATGTCATGTTTTGTATGGAAACTTGAACAGCAGCGCCATAACGGACGTAACGAGAACTAAAATTCAGTACACATTTGACAATGACATTTCGCACTCGCAAACTATTCGAATTCGACATTGGTTAGTGGTAAGGGTCGGTGGATACAATTTGATATCTAAATCGTCTTGATGTTTTACAAAGAACGGTATTCGAACCGCAGTCAACCCACAAATACGTCTATTCATTTCTATTAATTTCTAATTACTATCACTTTCTTTAGTATCAATAGAATGTCTTATTCCCCAGGTTATTTTTTCATAAATGCAGAATAAAAACCTTTGTTAATTGTTAAAATGAAGATATATGAATTACATTGCTATTTAATTCTTTCGAAGAAGTATTTGATACTTGTAAAACTTTCTCATTTTTTATTTGTAACACCCAAAGACATAAATTAATAAAATACTCCTGGGGAGAATCTTGACAATGTATTTATATCATAATAGTGGGGAGACATTCTTGACAATGTATTTATATTATAATAGTGGGGAAAAAATTACATATATTTTATTTCTTTATTGTGTCTGGCTTCTGATGTGTTGGGTCCCAGTAATATTTTTCGTACAACTTGTCCCAAAACTGATAAGATTCGGGAACCGGGTCCACCTTCAATTCCAGTTTTCTGTCAATCGAAAGGTAGTAGGGATGTTGCCTTGAGTATACCTTCCATTTTGTATCTATCAAGTCGCTTTCATATGCGGTCGGGTTTCTGAAATTCAATAATATTTATTCTTACATCAACGCTTTATGTAAAAGATTACCTAAATCTTAAGTGTAAGTCTGGCATCGCTCTATTCGGGTTTCGTAAAATCATTTGTTTGCTTTTATTATAACTTTTGTTTACCATGAACCTTGTTTTTTTATGAGTGTCCGATATTTAAGTATACATATTTAAAAAACAAGGTACATGGTAACAGTCCCGTTAATAGCTATAATGTTAGTGACCATGAAAGTTTAAAACAATATAACTTTCAAAGTTCATTAAAATATAAGAAAATTGTTACTAACATAAATTAATATGAGACCATGTCTTGAAATAAAAGCATTTTTTTTTATTACGAAGGAGACATCTTATAGCAAAACTTCACATTCTGAACTTTTAACGGCACGCTATAATGACCGTTTTGACGTATGTGCGTTCATGAAATTTCATATTCCAATACTCTTCTTCTTCTACATTTGAAAGAAATAATTATTGTTCTTCATTGTCATAAGCTCGTCGACGAGCTCGATGGCGCAAGTGGTTACCGCTTTCGGCTGCGATCGTTGAAGTTAAGCAACTTTCGCAATGGTCGGTCATTGGTTGGTTGAGCAATAATCTTCTCCGAGTTCCTCCGTGCTTCGGAAGGCACGTTAAGCCGTTGGTCCCGGCTGCATCTGCTGTCATTAGCACCCGCCAATCCGCACTGGAACCGCGTGGTCCCACCAATTAACCTATTCCATTAATAGGGATGGCCTATGCCCCAGCAGTGGGGACATTAATAGTCTAATGATGATGATGATATAAAATCATGGTCTAACTTATGATAAGGTTACGAAAACCTTATCAAGTTTAAAACGATTAAATATCATATCATTTTTAACTCAAAAACACCGGCTCTTTGTCAGAATCTTTAAAGAATTAAGTAAATTAATTTAAATCATTGTTTTTTTGTTATTATCATTAAGAAATGTTATGTCATGCATATTATAATATAATTAGAGTGTATTAATTTGCCACATAACCCGCCATCTGTGTTGTTCGAAATTCAAAATGAGAAAACGTGAAATTAATAAAATCGTTACATATAGGATCGTTGAGCGTGATTTAAAATGTATATTTTCGTGTTATTCAATCTTTATAGTAAGCAAATTTTTGCAATATTGATAAAAAAATACATAGATGTGACATGTATTCGATTGAATAGGATTGTTTTCGATAACAGGTTGAATTTTTGCGTCACTATTACAATGTGTCAAACGGCCATCATGTCGTGCCGCGAATATAGTTTTGATTTTGGGATAGCCCCCGTAACAAAAATGGTATAAAAAAAAATTGCCGGCCTCCCATTTCTTTGCTGTTGACAATAAAAAAATATATATTCTACTCAAGGAGTTCTAGACAAAGATGTGTCACATGCTGGGGTCAAAAGAAAAAAAAGTCAAAAAATAATTTTATTGAATTTTTAACTAAATGTTCGACTTCAAGTAAGCATTCTACATACAAAATTAAGATTTCAATTCTGTAACTCGATCCGTTCTACGATATAGAGACCCGTGACATACGGAGAGACAGACAGAACGACAGAGTGATAACAATAGGGTTCCGTTTTTACCCTTTGGGTACGGATCACTAAAAAAGTAAATGTCAAAATTGATTTGGAAAGTTTACTGAAGAATTAATCGAAAACCGTAAAAACGCATTCATACTCACTCAAACTTTACAAAATCCGTCCACATGTATGTCATGCGATCTCTTGTGTCCATATCTTCTGGGTTTTTTGTGAAACCATAGAAATCCCAAATATACGAATCTTGGTCTCTATGAGTGGCACCTTTAATAGTATCCATAAAATGATGTGGCGTGCTTAATTCACCAACGTATGAAAACTCATAAACGTAAAACGGTCTTGTTGTGATTGCTCTTTGTAACATCAGCGACTTTATTATTGGATATTTAAACATAGAGTCACTAAAATAATCAACGTATTCCCGTTTCTTATCATTTGTCACTTCCTCATCCTTAAAATAATAATGTTTCACCATTTTGGCAATTTCTTCCTTCGTTTTGAAATCTTTGAAGATCAAATCTGCTGGTAAAAACTCAGCAAAGTTTTCATTCATCTTTTTTTTCCATGCGCCAAATTGACCGGATCTACTTAGTCCTTCCATTTTTGTGAACCCAATCAAAATAGCTAATTGTTTTACATCTCCTCTCTTCAAAGTTTCTAATGGCGATTCAGTCAAATAAGGTTCAGGGCTATTTTCTATACTTTCAATACAAGGAGAAAAACCAAAAGTACTATTGGGCAAGAAAAAATTTAAACTTTTTATTGCCAGATCTGTATCTGTAGCGTTTAAATAGAACTCTGTTAAATCTTTGATATTTCCTGTAATATTGTAGCCAAAAGACAATGCTATGTTCCTTGCTGTTGTTATTGGATGTCTGTTGATTGCAAAAGGGGTTAATGCTGATCCACTATCCAAAATTAGCTTATCGAACAATCCATTAGTGTGTTTTGACAATGCGTGTATTTCTGCCATGGTTGCACCAACACTGTAACCAGCCAGCGTAATTTTATCAGGGTCTCCACCAAATCTTCCAATATTCTTTTTGATCCACTTCAATGCAGCCAATTGATCTTTAAGACCGGCGTTACCGGGAATTTCTTCTGTACCTAGGCAAGCGAAGCCTACAGCTCCAACTCTGTAGTTGAAAGTAATGGCTACTACACCTAATCTTGCTAGGTAATGAAGCTTGCCCATATTAGCACTGCCACCGGCGAATGCCCCGCTGTGGATGTATACAACCACTGGTACTAAATTCGTCCTGTTTGCAATAAGAGGTACGAGAATGTTCATGACTAGACAGTCCTCTTCACCATTCAGGAATATTTCTTCTTCATTTTCGCCGGTGTAAAACGTTTGATGGCACATAATTGATTGTTTGTCCGCTGTTAGAATAGTTTTTCTTGGTGTGACTGGAAGAGGGGGCTGAAATTTTTTTTTGTAAAGAATGAGAACTTGATCGATTAATAAGTATGAGTGGAAAAATAGAACTAATAAGATTTTTTTTATTAAGTATATCATTTTCTGTGAGCCTGGTTATATTGTTAGAAATGGGATAGATTTAATCCTCAAAAATAATAAATGATCATCTGACCTGACCTTAAGGTTACCATTTGTCTTTTAAGTGATCATTCATTTTTAGAGGATCAGTTAAATATTAGGAGCTCGATGGCGCAAGTGGTTAGCGCGTTCGGCTGCGATCGTTGAACTTAAGCAACTTTCGCAGTGGTCGGTCATTGGATGGGTGACCAAAAATTACTATCTCGAGCTCCCCGTGCTTCGAAAGGCACGTTAAGCCGTTGCGTTGGTCCGGCTGCATCTGCAGTCGTTAGCACCCACAAATCCGCACTGGGCCCGCGTGGTGGGTCATAGCCCAATCTCCCAATTCCATCCATAGGGAAGGCCTGTGCCCCAGCAGTGGGGACATTAATAGGCTGATGATGATAATGATGAGTTAAATATTTTCCTATAATAATGCCGTCACTTGTTTTAAACCCCGTTTTTGAGGATCAATTACTAGTTTTTAATGATCCTTTAAATATTTGTCATTAATTTATTTATCGAACTGTGGGGTTTATTGAGGGCTCTGAGTGAGTCCATTGGCTTAGCAAGTATGAAATTATCGTTAATTATCCAATATTTATGTTGTTATTAACTCCTCTCGTCCATATTTTTTCGATCAAATTTCCGTTCTGTAAAAATAAACTAAATTTTGTACTCGTATGTACTGTTTCGGATGAACTAAAAAAATATACCCGGAAACGACGTCGTACTCATATGTACTATTTAAATTCCTAATGCACAAGAACTAAAAAAATACACCCGAAAACGACGTCGCAACTGGTTAAGTACTCTTATTTAATACGATTTTTTCAATGTGAATATAGAATGCAAATTTCCAATACCTTAAATCTGTCGCGCCCCTTCGGCGCAGTCGCATATGGCACCCCGTAGAATTCATAAATATCCCCATTCCAGTATTTTGCGCCTTGCACATCGCCTTCTGGCAGTTCGACAATCCTGGAATCGGCCACATCTTCACAAAACACATTAGATACAACTATAAGAAATAACAAATATTCGAACATTTCTGTAGACACTTTAATACTGAGCTGTTTCTGAATGGTTATCAAAATGATTGATTGTAATGATAGATTACATAGCGTTGTTATTATCTAATATTATTTGTGTTAATTACCACACCACGTATGTGATTAAGTTATCAATTAACTTTATTTATATTTTAGGGCTTATCTATAATCTGATTTTTAGATTTTTAATAACTGACTATAAAAGTGCAGAACAGAAATGTTTATTATGTAAAGGGAGTCATTTCAAGAAGTATACTAACATCAAAACTACTTTGCTTGCGTATAAAATATTGTTTCCTTCAATCTTATATATCTTATGTATTACTATAAATTCACGGTTTTCACGGGATTTAAATTGTAACGGCATCCCAATACGATTTCCTTGCTAACCATTGCTTCGTACCTACATTAATCTTTTATTCCCAGAACTGTTATATAAATATTATGGTCTCTAACTTTCCCAAGGAACGGAAAAATAGCGTGTCATAAACACATCAGTCCGTGAAATACGCAAAATGGGATATATACAGTGAAGTAATCGCGAAGCCGCGCCCGTGTGAAATATATTATCATATGATATCCTGAGCCGGCATATTTCTTGTGTCCAGTAAGTTTATTCTATTTACACCAGACGATTTTTTGTTTTCTGACTAGCATTTTCTTTATTGTAGCCATCTTATTATAATTATATACATATAAGCAATACCAGCAGCTTTAGCCTATTAATGTTCCCACTACTGCTGGGGCACAAGCCTTCCCTATGGATTGAATGGGTATAACATGCCATGACTCATTTATTTATTTAAGGAAATGTATATACATACAGCATTAAAAAGACATGTTAGTTAAACCATTAATTTTATTCATACGGATACAGTGCGGATTTGTCATTGACAATGCCATTTTTTTTGTTTTTTAATTAACTTGTGTTTTCTTGTATGGTGTATTACAATAAAGAATATTATTATTATTTAAAAGCTCAAATCGCATTCAGAATGATTGATGTTAAAAATTTGTCATTACTGCTGAATTACAAATGCTATTTTTATTAGTAATTAAACTTGGTCGACAGTAGATCAAAGAATGTCTTCATCGAAAAAAAGGATACTCTTTTATCGTATTTTATTATTTGATAACTTATTTGCCACATTTCACTAATAAAAAAATAAGGATAAAAAATCAATTTACCTAACTTTTCTTATGGAATATTTATTAATTTCTGTAGTAACATTTAATAAATTCAATACATATAAATAAAAATGCACTCGTAATAGTGAAAGTAAAGTACACAATACTTTTACTTTTATAGACAAAGCGTAAACTTATTTTTTTTATCATCTTATATTATTATTTTATGTTACACTAGTTTTACTTGGTTATGTACGAAATTTAATGTTATCTGTGGTGTACAATAAAGTGTTTTGTATTGTATTATAGTTAAGTCGGATCGAAAGCTGTAAATGTACCTCGTGCGTCTTTATGCGGAATACGTTCTGTTTAGTAGGTTTCCATGTAGACCTGAGCATAAAATATATCGAGTTTTCTCGCTCTAACTTGTGTTTATATACCGTTTGTAACTGTGTCTGTGTGTCTGACTGAAACTTTACCATATAAGTCAGTAAGATCACGAAGTGAATACGTAGCACGTTATGCCTTCAGGCATTTTTGCGCAGTTTCAAGTTGAATTTTTTACATAAATTGCCACAAGTGATGTCAAATTAAGTAGCGGGTAATTATAGCGGATGAACCTTTCTACCGTGAACTGAAATCAATTGAAATAACCATGGAAAAATAAAGTAGAAATAGCTTTTAAACTAAATAAGTTAATGGTAACATCTTACATCTAGGTATAATTTCGCCATCGTACATCGCGACAAAAATTTCATCACCATCTTGATGCGTGGCTTTTGACGAAATTTTTACCACGTACGACAAAACTGTGGAATATATTGTCGCCAGCAGTGTTTCCCGACCAATACGACCCAAAACCTTCAAAAAAAGAGCGTACTTCTTCCTTAAAGGCCAGCATCGCATTTGTGATACTCCTGGTGTTGCAAGTGTCCATGGGGCGTAGTGTATATATTCTCTGCCATGGGCGACAGTAATCACTTACCGTCAGATGAGCCGTCTGCACATATGCCCCCTATACCATAAAAAAAAATTAAGCAAGTAACTAGAGGCTCGATGCATTAATCTAAAGAAAATATTGCGAGAAAAAAATAGGCTAGAAAGAATTCGACATGGCCATCAGGGCCGCGGAACATAATTGGCCAGTGCATTCGCCCAGATAGCGAAGGGTGCAGGTTCGAGTCCCGTCTGCTGCTTGGACCGCGTGGATTTTTTTCTAGTAATATCTTCTATGACGCCAAGTCGCCATTAGGGTGCTTGTTAACTCTACCTGTACCCTTAGCACGAACTATTATCGAATTCGAATAGTTGAGTGCGATCTATATTATACGTCAAATGTGTTCTGATTTTTAGTTGTCGTTACGTCTGTTGTGGCACTGCTGTTCAAGATTCCACACAAAATTTGACAATGACATTTTGCACTCGCAAACTATTCGAATTCGATATTGGTTCGTGCTGAGGGTACTAGCCTCTACACCGGCCGGTGCTGGCTAAATTATTTCACGCGCACGGTTTGTATGTTTGTTCCGACCCCAAATGGTTGCTAGCACCGGTGTCATTCTCAAACATTAAACCCATACCTAATTGAAGTTCAAACGTAGACATGGTTTGAAACCATACCTCAACCCGGCGAAAAACCATCTCGTTACCAAGCGTCATTACTTACTTCATCCAACGATATTAAATACCCTAGATACACCAACACGAACAAAATCGTGCCCGAAACCTGTCCAAAAGGTACATTGGACGATACACGGAGCTCCGTAAGATGATCGCGTAGTCAGAACCTATATAAGGCAATGTTTAAACATTGAAAATCACCTTTAATGCATAGTGTGTAAGGTCTTAATTAAAACGTATGCGTCAAAGAGTCATGACAGTTCCAAATGCAAGCTCGTAAAATTTTCCGCGCGTGACTGTGAACCAAGAAGTGCTTGAGTGGTGTTCAAGCACTTCTTGATTGGGACACATTTTGAGCACGCATGGTGTATCTAGGGTATTGACTATCGGTGACTTCATCACCTACGAATAGGTTCGACATTATTTTAATGTATAATCGCTGATGGCAGACCTAACCGAAACAAATAGAAAATATTTTTTTTTATATTCCTATCCAAAAGCTGTACGTACAGCGATGCATTAAAAGCAGCCACCGCAGTCCGTGAGCCAATTTCGTTTCGTCTACGGCGCTATAAACGCGGAAAAACACAAAAACGCTCTCACGTTTAAAATGAAATAGCACGTTTTAAATGAAATAAAACTACAAAATACGTCTCATAAAATATAACAGTTGGATGTGTGGTGATGTTATTAACCAATCACAGCTCTACTGAGTTATGGAAACAAAATATGGAAACTTCGGGCTCTCGTATTGTTGATCGAAGTATAGAATTCCAAATTTGGAATCATATTTATAATTTTGTCTTTGGTGACACTAGAATTTATGCCCCGATATAGGTTCTCCTTATTATAAATAAAATTAAAATTTTATTTCAGTCTGAAATCGTTTGCTACTGTTTGCATGGCGCCTTATATATAAGTTTTGTATACACCACGGTCTAACAACACACATTGTAGCACAATTAGCCATAGCCTAGAAAACGTATTACAGTCTGATTTTGATAATTCTTTTTCTATTGGAAAGGGAAGTTTGTCCCATATGAATTTGGAGAAAAACGAAAATTAAGGGTGGGAAAATAGGGTGAGTGCTCACTCACAGATTTTGACGCCGAGTTGTATATTAAAAAAAATATAGTCACAGAAAGGAGATTGCTTCCATACATGTTTGGCCCAAAGACCAATAATCATGAAAAAATTGTTTCCTAGATTCGAAATTATATATAAATTACTGTAGAAACGAATATTATTGACGGACACCCCTGAAAACTTCTTAAACCATTTACACTGAACATATTAAAATAATAATAAACCAATAAATTATATAGTAAACTATGGAAATTAAGCCAAGTACCGAAATTATGGATTAGATTCAGGTATATAGAGCATGTGGATTAACAGATAGTTGCCTGTTTTTAAAGTTAATGCATAAGAGTAACTTTTAAAATCAGGTGTCATCTATGCATTTCCGGTTATAATAAGGTACTCTGTGACAGAAACTGTGTGATGAATTGGTGATGAATGATTGTGAGTGAGCCACAGATTAGAGAGAATTTTTAAACTCTCGTAAACTAAACAAGCATAGCCATATAATCAGTAGCTTCATTATTTTTGTTATGTTTTTATTATAACCATATTTTAGATTTTTAGTGTATCACACCTTATAATTTTATTTATTTATTAATTTATAATCAGGCAACGTAGGCCCATAGATAGATATCTTAAAGTCTAACATATATACAGATTATAATGTGTTTATGGAGGTGTTTGGCGAAAAATTTATGGCAATAGACTTTATGATGTCGCCTACCATCTATAATAATTGTCTGGGTACATTTGCATGTAGTGAAAATGATAATGTAGTTGTGAATATTAATACCACAGTGTAATAAAAAAATGATTTATTTCTTCAATCTTTGCAATATAGATTTGTTTTTATGTTATATAAACAACTTCGATCAGTCTTTGGCTGAATGTTACTACACCCATAGCCATTAAAAATGATTCGTATGTTTTCCAAACCGGTAAAATTAAAAGTCCTTTTTAAAGTAAATATTTTATACAAAGGTGTCCGTTGAAATGTAATGACTGTAAATTAAATTATAAATTACGCCAAGAATTACCTTATATATCAATATTTTTTGTGCCATTGGGCCAATTTGAGCAATCTCCTTTATGAAATCAAAACTTAAAAAAATCGCTAAAAAGTAATTAAAATAATAAACCTTAAAAAACAATACTATTTTGTCAATTAATATTTGGAGTCGGTACGATGCATGTCTGATAGATTCTACCCCTAGCACGAACATTATCGAATTCCAATTGTTTGCAAACCGAAATGTCAATGTCAAATTTTGTAT